CTCCTTCCTCAATCAAGCATTTGGCTTGGTCGTGTGAGCAAATCCACGATTAGCGACGTGAGCGAGATCCATTGCCCCCCATTGAGTGAATCTCAAGTTATCTATCTCCCTCTCCTCGATACCCTTGCTTTTGTCTTGCATCAGTAAGGCTTTGATTGTTACTCAAGCTATGATCCATTTATATATCATAGAAAGTCTGGTATTATTTAATTTATTTTGGTGGTGCTATTCACGTACTTTTTTTACCTTTTGAACACCATTCTTAATTTTCAATTGTCGGATCGAATGAAAATCAAATAACAAAAATGAAAAGAGGTACATGGAAGATAAAAAAAGGTGTGTGGCCAAGTTATCCTTTACTAGAGTTTCAATGTAGTTTGTACTGAAATGAAACAGTTAAATGATGACATGGAAAACACATGTACTGGCTTGGCTGGCTTTGATGCTTTCTCTTCTTGTATTTTTTTTTTTTATAGAAAAATGTTAGTAACCCTTGCACTAAATTTTTATATTTGAACTTTTTTACCTTTTCAAATGACACGCCTATTTTTTTTACATAAAAAAACTATCTTTATGTTGTAGGCCTATTTGATTGAATAATCTCTAGGGTTTAGAGAGAGAGGGGGCCGGCAATATTGGGGGAGAAGAGAGAGTGATTTAATTGTGAGATGTGTGTGTGATTCACCTCATTGTGCCTTTATTTATAGTAGTAGGATAGGTAAAAACCTTTCCCTTTAAAATTACAACATTTAATAGGTAATCTACTCCTAATAGGAATATAAGATACATTCCCATATCTACTAGGATTTACACAATCACATTCTTATTCTAAATATGACTACAACACTCCCCCTTGATTGTGTAAATACTCAACAAATCATTGCATCGGATCTTCAACAGATAAGGTAGAATAGTTGATAAAGTCATCGGCACAACGGATGATCACGAGTCTCAAATTTAAGTGAAGTATGCATTTGTAGTAAAACTCACAAAAACCTCGCTATGGTAAAACCCAAGGCATGGGAAAAACCCATAGACTAAGGAGAAAAGTGAGAAGTATGCATAATGTCTTTAAGCAATCATCAAATAAGACAAAGGTAGTGGACTCAGCGGAGTATGATCATCACAAGATGGATGCCTCATTAAAATCTCGTTAGGTAGCAAAAAACCCAATGGAAAAAATGCTCCTAATCGTAGGAAAATGGTACATTAAGATCATGTGAGTATGCTTCTAAATACTCCCCCTAAGTTAGACATAACTTCTAAATAAGAGAACTACAAGCGATTGAACTCATATAATTTATGCATATCGATTCCTTGGACGAGCTTCTGAAAAGTAGACTTGGGGCATGACTTGGTGAAAAGATCGGCCAGGTTGTCCTGGGAACAGATTTGCTTGACTTCAATGTTCTAATGATGTTGCTGCTAGTGTGAGTAAAAGAACTTTGGCGTTATGTGCTTGATGTTGTCTTCCTTGATGTATCCATTCTTAAACTACCCAATTCATGCCGCATTGTTTTCAAAGATTGTCGTAGAAAGGTTAACGACTGATGTAAGACCACTAGTGCTTCGAATATGTCCCATAACTTTTCTCAGCCAAAAGCACTCACGCGATGTTTCATGCAGGGCAAAAATCTCAGCATGGTTCGACGAAGTCGTAACTAGTGTTTGCTTGGTAGACCTCCAAGATATAGTGGTGTCTCCAACGGTAAAGACATAACCCGTTTGAGAATATACCCTATGTGGGTCAGAATCAATCCGATAACCATAGGGGGCGGCAACACTCGAAGATTTGTGGGTATAGAACAAGCCCATATCCGTTGTACCATTGAGGTAATGGAAACTGTCTTAAACACCAAAAGATTCACAGCGAATGTGATGTAAGGTCTAGTGCATTGAGCCAAATAAGGCCCCAATTGCACTTAGGTAAGGAACTTTGGGTTCCAAAATCTCTTCCTTATTCTTCTTTGGACAAAAGGGATATCGTTTAACAACTAGAGTCCAAACGACCATGGGTGTACTCGAAGGCTTCGCTTTATCCTTATTAAAATGACGCAACACATTTTAGGTGTAGTTCGATTGATGTACTAGGATTCCATCCGAACAATGCTCAATCTCCAAGCCGAGACAGTATCGAGTTTTCCCAAGATCTTTCATCTCAAATTCTGATTTCAAGTGTGCAGCAATTTCCTCAAGCTCTGCGGGAGTCCCAATGAGGTTCATGTCATCGACATAAACTGCAACGATTGCAAATCCATAATGTGACTTCTTTATGAACACGTATGGGCATAATTCGTTGTTCACATAACCCTGACTTGTCAAATATTCACTCAAACGGTTATACCACATCCGCCCGGATTGTTTCAATCCATAGAGTGACCTCCTCAACCTAATTGAGGGAGTGTTCCGTGGTTTAGAACTATTTGAACCAGTCAATGGAAGTCCTGCTGGAACTTTCATGTAAATTTTCATATCTAGATCCCCATAGAGATACGCAATTACCACGTACATAAGTTGCATATTTAGTTTTTTCGGAAACGACCAAACTGATTAGGTAGCGGAACATTATAACATCCATTACGGGGGAATACGTCTCCTTGCAATCAATCACAGGGCACTGAGAGAAGCCTTGCCCTATGAGGCGTTATTTGTATCGTACTATTTCATTCTTCTCATTACGTTTCCTCACGAAAACCTACTTGTAGCCAACAAGCTTCACGTGTGGTGGTGTAGGAACGAAATGAGACATAGTGGGAGCATACCACAACAATTCGCAATGTTCTACGGGAACATTAGCATGCTTATCTCCCCCTAACGACTAGAAGACTATCTTATCAAAGTGACAATCCACAAAACGTGCTGTAAAAAGATCTCATGTCAAGGGTTAAAAGTAGCGAACAATTGATGACGAATCATAACCGACATAGATTCCCATTTTTTCTCTAAAGACCCATTTTGATAAGTAGCGGCGACATTCTTGGCACATAAATGGTGCACCCAAACACTTGTAAATGCAAGACGTTAGTTAGGCTTGTATCCAGTGACCAATTGTAACGGTAAATGTGGGTTGAGTAGTGGTGGGCCTCAGGTGGACCAATATAGCTGCGTGCAATATTGCATAGCCCTAGGAAAATACCGGTAGTTTGGTTCTCATAACCAAAGTCCAAGCTATCAATTGAAGCCGCTTTATGAAAGCTTCTGCCAAGCCGTTTCAGGTGTGAACATGGGGTACAAGATGTTTCACATAAATCTCTACTAACATGCAACAATCGTCAAAAGTTTGTGACGTAAACTCTCTAGTGTTATCCAGTCAAATCGACTTAATCGGATAATCAGGGTGGTGAGCCCTTAGCTTAATGATTTGAGCTAGGAGTTTAGCAAACGCGGCGTTGCTTGTGAACAACAAGTAAACATGTGACCATCTTGTCGATGCATCAACCAACACCATAAAGTATCTAAATGGTTCACATGTTGGTTGGATATGTCCACAAATGTCCCATTGAATCTTCTGAAGAAACTTAGGGGGGTCGTGAATAATCTTTGTATATAAGGGTTGAGTATTCAACTTCCCTAAAGAACACGTTTTGCATGGTGGGAATCCAACATAGGGATGTAACTTATGCTCGTGTGAAGATTTGAGGATACAGCGCATCATGTCACGTTCAGGATGTCCCAAACGGTCATGCCAAAGCAACAAAATGTCTTGGAACTTAGGCATAAGGCCGGCCACACTGTGGGCTTCTATGCCGCGAATGGTTGTGATGTACAACCCACTCGGCAATCGTTCCAACTTTTCATGAATACACTTCTGGCCATATTCGTATGAAGTGATACAAAGAAATTTAGAACCATTATCTTCAATGGTTTCAATATGATATTGATTATCTCGAATATCTTTAAAACTCAGCAACGTTCTTCCGAAACGTGGAGAATAGAGTGTCTCCTTAATGATCAAGATTGTACCATTAGACAACATGATACGTGCCTTCAGGTTGGATGAGCCTGAGAGAGTTGTCAAATGAGCTTTCTTGGGTATTAAGTTAGTAAAATATTGTCGTTCACGCAAGATGGTGTGCGCGGTTGCACTATCTGCTAGACAACTAACTTTTCCACTAGACATACATAGAAATAATTGATTGAATTGGTCACATGCATAAATATAAGTCCATTCATTCAATTAAGCAATTCAAAAAATAATATTCATTCAAATAACAATCCATAATTCAAAACAAAACCAAAACCAAACAAATTATTCTAAATACTTAGAAAAATTGTTCAAAATTAAACCATAAAACTAGAAAAATAGGGGGGGTAGGGCCGGCCACTCCTAGTGGGTTCGGCCACTAGGGTAAACATCCTAAAAAATGTCTACTTTTTATCCATAGCGCTGACGCCTCCTGAAAAATCGATATCTCCATTGATGTAATTGCATCTTCTAATGATCCACATGTGCAAAGTTAGACTCACGACGGGAATGATACTTGGCAATAACCTCAGAGGAAGCTCGGCATACGCGTGACCAAACGATCCATTGATCCACAATGATAGCACATGTCCAGTTCAGTAGAGCGGGTGAACGAGAGCTTTGCCATTATTCTTGAAGTTTAGGGCCTTAGGGTCGAGTGTGGACGTTGCTGGGTCACATTCTTCCTTTAGGTGCGGCACTCTGCTTACCTTGGGCCTGTGGTTGGGCTTTGCCACCATTGCCACGGCCACGACGATTCTTTTACGATTCTTTCATTGTTTATAGCTACTAGAATAGGTCGCATGCGCTTCAGGTGTGGCGTTCGAGCCAGTGGGTTGAGTTAATGATTCTCATCAAAAACTGGTTCTGTTTTCGTGAGAAGTAAAACAGAGATCAAATCAGTAATTGGTGAATTTATGCTTATTTTGCTGCAGACTATGGGGCATGAAGGTGGATAGGATTCTCAAGATTTGTTCGGTTAGTTCCACATTGCAAATTCAATGTGACGATTCTAACTTTATAGTTTTTCTTCAAACTAAGTCCAGAGGAATATGCTGTCAATTAGTCTTACTTCAGTCACGACACCAACTGGCGATGCTAGAGGATAATATTTGCCTTCTCTTCTAGGTTCAGTTGCAAGCCTAAATCCAGTTTTGATTGCCCATGCCAGCATGATCATTGCGATGATACTCACAACTATGCGGCTGACAATGCATATCGTCTTCAGCTTCCCTGCTGCATCATTAGGAATCGAGTAAGATGAGAAGTTCAGATGAATGAAAATTTCATTAATTAGTTTTGGAAGGTGTTAATTTAACTATCCTGGTTTCATACATCCCCGCCCCTCCTCTAGGCTCTCTCTCATCATCTCTCTCATCATATGATGAGAGAGAGTGAGGAGAGCGGGTGCATGAAACCGTTGTGTAAGTTTCCTCCTAGCCTGAAACTAACACCTTCTGCTTTGTATTAAGTTCTCGTTTTCGGTGTTGGTTGCGTTACCTTGAGCTTGAGGTTTCCTGGACTCCTCCTGCCTCTTCTGCAATTGTTCCGAGAGTTTCATAACCAAGTTTGCTAGTAAAGAAAGACCAGCAGCCAAAAACAAGAAACCGAGAACTAGAGTTAGAACTCCGACGCAGAATGCCCAATTGTTCGACTCCCGCTTTATCCCCGGCGTGTCTGCAACTCCAGATTCGGACCAAATGGTCCACAGGAACAGAAGTACCATGACAAGAGACGTCAACACAGAAAACAATGTTGCACATAGGGTTTTGGCATCTCCGATGGGCTTCCACCCGAAGGCTCTTATGCCTTCTTCCTCCATCTTCGGCCGCCGGACGGAGTTGGAAGAGAGGAGAAGAAAAACAGAGAAGAAACAGAAGAAATGGTTTTGGCACTGAGAAACTAAAGTGGGTTTTTTGTTTATGGGTCAGCCGAGATAAGTGGGGGTTAGTTGGGTCATCACATAATTCAAAAATAAACAAACATGAAAGCGATGGTGGTAATTAACCATGAATTATCACCCAATTTATGAGTAAAATACCCTGTTCCTTCTTGGCTTTGTTTTGATTGGGCGTTACCATGGGAGAGTTTGAACGGAGACACAATGAGTTGAAGAATACGGGTATACTCTATCCGCCACAATGATCCACCGCTTGTTATTGGTTGTTGTCAGTAAACACGAGTCATTAGTAATGAAAAGAAAGAAAATAACATATTAGGATTATGTGCCAAATTTCACCATTAAAGGAAAGAGACTATGTATTAGGAGGAGCCTTAACAATTTAATTACGCTTTCCACAATGATAGCACTTTGAAATTGAAATTGAGACGTCTCATCTTCAAATTTTGAGTTATTGTTTTCCATGCCAATTTCAAAGTTATTTCAATATTAATTAAAACCGAAGGTAATGTCAAATATTAATTATAACATCATGTCCTACTCACCCTTCTAATTCAATGGTGTAATGATGCTGATTAGTCATAATTAGTGGAAGTCGAGTTCGAGTTCAAGCTTATAATCAGCAGCAACACTCTCCTCAGTCTCGTGGGCGTTTCGGCTGGGCGGATGATGAGACTGGACCGTTCAATCGAAGAAACACATACCAAATGAGGTCCTAAGTCGTACCTCTACGCGAGTATGTGCGACGAGATTTTTCCAACAAACAGACGGATTTCGAAATGACAGACCGCTGCCTCGGCATTTTAATTTGCAATTTTATGAAGGCGAATTCCAGATCCGGAAGTTCATACGGACCAAAATCACTAAATTCACTACTGGAAATGCATGCCTAGAACCCAACCTATCAAACAAATGTACGTGTGTGTGTGTGTGCGCGCGCGAGCGCACGTGTGTGGACGTAGCACACGTACATGCACTCGTGCACCCGCACTACATGACTCCAACTGCAGGTCTAGTACTTGCACACCAGTGATAACTCAGTTCAGGGAATCCAAATTACATGAACAGGAGAAACTTGTTCATATCAAGCGTCACGCTTAATCCAATCCTGATCCTGCAGCATATGCCGCATTGTACAAAAATACCAAACACACCTTGAAAAGGAGATACTAAGCATTTAAAAGTATTCAAAGCTTAAATCCGTCATTTGCTTAAGCAACATGTCACACATGCTGGCCTCAATAATTATCTTCATCATCATAGTCACTCTCCATCTTGATCTGCATCGTTAAAAACTAAGAGACATCAACATATAACATCATATTATTATTTTTTTTATTAGAATGAATTAAGAAGAAAAGCATTGCACGACCGGGGAACGCTTCATGCGTGTTAAAATGGGAAACACATTGCTACACAAAATTCTCAACAACATAACCCAAATAAGTACTTTACACTTGTTTAAGGAAATAATCTCTCTCCCTCCCTCCTCTAGTCCTTTGTTTTCTGCCCCCATCTCCCTCCGTCTCCTTTCTCAATCAGTTTCCTAATTCTCGAAGCTAGCGCCATCAAAACTTCACAAGAAGAACTACTGCCAAGGACTTGTAGTCACTATGGGCTTCAATAACAAGAGCCCTTATGCCTATGTTCAACTTCATGCACACACACTTGCAAATTGGTGGAATTATGGAAAATCTTGATTACATTTCAGGGTCTTCTACTTTCCAATTTCCCTCCCGTTAATCCTTCTCTTTGTTTCCGTTGCTTTAACTCTGTTTGGGTTCATATCATTTTTTTTCTTTCTTCCTTGTTCTATTTTCACTCCCTCTTCACTTTCTGTGTACAAATTTGCGGTGTACAAATTTGCTTCCTTCAATTTTTCAAGATTAAGCAGGAGTTGATGCAAGATGAGTAACAAAGAAAACAAAATTTTCAGTCTAGTACTATAATCCCCTTGCAATCAACAGTGTCACAATTTGGGTGTATAAAATCGATCCGAAGACTGGTTCATATTGAACTAAAAGAGGTGGAAAAATAAGATTTTGAATTTGTGGATGGTAGAAGAACAAGACTGTTTTGGTAGCACAAGATTTGTGATTTCCTATTAAAATTACAATGAGGCTACAAGCTGTGCTTGTACTACACAAATCACTTTAGCTATTTATTTATTTATTGGAAGTAGGAAGGAGGAAAATGTCAGTCTAGTGAAGATGTCACTAATCTGTTAAGAAATGGCGAGTTGACAAAATGTGGCACTCGTCATGTAAAAATTAGATAGAAGGGAAGTGTGATTCTCAGTCTCGGAAGAAAGGGTGAAAACTCAAGAAAGCCAATGAACTGAGTATCCACACTGAAAAGAGTTAAAGAAACCACAACGAATAACACATATCAAGTATATAATTAAAATGCTCACCTTTATTTATTGTGAAGAAAAACATTTGAATTTTAGTCATTATCCTCTTTTCCATAGTCGTATACTATCTCAATCTGCATTAAACAACAAATACCACCATGGTTAAACCCGTTCCAGGTGCAGTATTGTTCCAGGAGGGAATAGCATGATAAACAGGAACAATGCAAAGCCAAGAATTTTTTAAAAAGTAAGTAACTTTCTACTTGCAATAGGAAGCCACCATTTTGTTGGAGACTGACAATAGTAATATTAAACCAAAAAAATCGTAATTAAGAAAACAAATTAGTGCTCTAAAGGATCCTTTAAAACTTGACCAATAACAGTATTCTATCTTTCTGAATGAAATAAAGAATGATGGTAGAACGTCAGTTAAAACAAATTAGTAGGTAACTAAGAAAACTCTCAAGGATCCATTTTTTAAGACTGGGCAATAACTGTACTCTTATCTTCCTGAATGAAATAAAGGATGATGATAAAACGTAAAAAATAAAAGCAAAAAGTCATGCAAGACAAATTAAACTCTTAGTTTTGAGTACTCATCTAGAAATGATAATTATGCCAGCTATTATACGACTGTAACATATGAGAATACTTGTCCAATTCCACTTGTGCCCTCTGATTAGAAAACAAATGCATGACTAGTTTACTAGCCACAAAGTAAACATAAAACACAACACAACAAGTGAATCAAAAGCAAGTAAGAAAATGATTGAAAACAAATGTAGATATCCTCAAAATAGATGTGAACAAGTAATACTCAAAAGAACAATGATAAACTGAAGAATGAGTTGTAATAAAATTACCCCAGCCGGTGGAGTAGGATTCCGGTGAAACTTTGAACCACCGGGGGCCCAAGGAACTGCACAGACAAGATGGAGAGAGGAGAAGATGAGACCATATATAAAAACCATTAGTAAAAACATAATCTGGGAAACACATGGATTAATTAAGTAAAACAATGATAGACCAAACCTATTAGAATTTACAAAAGCAAACTCTCAATTCAAGTTTTTATCAATATACAAATGAGAACAAAAATATGGCTTTAGGGATAGGTTAATAGGGTGCCACAATATTGATTCCAAAAAATAAATAATTAATATGAGCACCAAGCTAATCAGAGACAGACATAGACCACCATAGAGAAGCACTGATGAGTTTGTTGATCATCCAAGATAATTTCTCGAGCATAAGGTAGCTTAAACGCGCTAAGAAAATTTGAGGTGAGGTTGAAACCCCATCAAATCTAGAATGAATGCCAGTTCCAAAATCCTCTCTCCCTAAACTAGTACCCATATTAAAAGCTTAAAAGACATTAGAGCTTACAGCAAAAAATGAGGTCCAGAACATCAAACAAGAAACACAGAACCTATATGCCTGGAATTTTATATAAGCTGTTCCCATGCCTTCCAATTGAGGGCAAGAGCAATGAATTTATGCAAGTAAAATGGGCATTTTATGAAAGGGATTGTACCAATGTAAGGATCAGGATGGCGCCACTTATTGTAAGTGGCTTCGGCATTCGCTATGAGTCTATCAACGGTGTCAGGATCTTCCTGTAAATCCACACCAATCAAACAATCAAACCATCAATCAAAAGGGTACCTTAATTCATCAGCAAAGCAATCAAAAGGGTACATTTATTCAATAACTGAAAATGCAGCCAAGCTAAAAAATTCAAATTTTGAAACTAAATGTGAAAAATTCAAAAGAAATCGAATCGAAACAAAAACAATAACAACAAAAATTGGGGAAACTGAATAAAAGGGAAGAGACCAACCACATGTTTGTTGGTTTCGAACCTCTCACGGAGGGCATCAGCCTGAAAAAACAAAAATAATCAGAAAGCGATTGAAATCGAATGTATGCAATGGTTGATGGATGGTTGTGATTGAATAATGAAGATTGTAAAGGGGGGCGCAGCGAGTACATCTGGGTAGAAGAGGTGGCGGTGAACGGCCCAGTTGAGAGTGTCTCTGAGGGCTCGCCTGTAGAGGATCCGAACCTTCTCCTTCTGAGCTGCTCGACGAGCCACGTACGCTGCTGTTGACACTCCGCTCATCTCTCTCTCCTCTCTCTCTGCACTCTTCCTTGTTTCAGGTCTTTCTACAGACGAAATTCGATGACGAACTGACTGGCTGGCACCACGACGTCGTTTCCTTTCTGGGCCGAACGATGTTGACGTAATTGGGTAGGGCCGGGCCGGGCATATTGTACCAGGAACCGAAACTCGAACCGATCGGTTTGGTTTATTCAGTATTTTCCCGGTTTTCGATATGAAACTGGAGTTCTATGAGAGCAACTCCATCCTTGGTGGTTGCTTGGGGGACAGGCAAAGGGAAAGGGCATGAGGGCCGGTGGATAGGGCTCCAACGTTGGGCAGCCCAAGTGAAGGTGGGAGCCCGAGGGCCAGGCCCGTGGAGGATTGCCAGCCTTGCAGCCCGAGATGGGTGTGACGTCAGGCTAACGCCAGGCCTGGCGTCGGTCCTTTTTTTTTTTTTTTTTTGTGTCAGGCGCGTGCCCCTCACTCGCGAGTGGGGGCGCTTCAGCCGACAGCTTTACAAGGCATGGGGTTCACGCGCCAGTTTCAGCAGGTGACAGTTGGGAAGCCACGTGGCTTCCCACGGTCCGTTCGATCTTAATGGCTCTTTAATATGAGCCGTCCGATTTGAAACGGTAATAAAAAAACTGATTTAATATCAACCGTTCGATCTGAGATCAACGGTTGATATTAATCTACTTTATAAATTAAAAAAAAAGTTTTAAAATTAAGAAAAGTTACCGTTGTGACACGTGGCACAATCTGGAATGTTGGAATTCAATTTTTTTTTAAATCCAATGGCAGAGATTAATTATTTGAATAAAAAAATTTAAAAATTGTAAAAAATCCGAAAAAAAATATCTGAAAATTAAAAAAAAAATGTTTCTACTTTTCTATAAATACCTTTTCATTATCATCTACCTTACACCATAATTTCATATGTTATCAACTACTTTCAATCACATTCCTATCTTTCTCTCAAAGTTTCAATCCAATTTTTTTCAACAAAATGATTACTGATGCAGGTACGAATTGGACGTCTCTTGAAGATGTTGCATTGTGTACTAGTTGGGTTGAAGTTACTCATAGTTCGCGTACAGGTAATGAGATGCAGTTGCGAGAAATGTGTAGTCTTATTCATACCAATTATCTTAAGAAAATGGGTGGGAGTAGAACCAAAGAATCGATGTCTAATCGTTGGAAATTACTTAGTCAATCGTTTACTATTTGGAGAGACGCCTTGGCACAAGCTAGTAGTAATCTTCGAAGTGGGGAAAATTACGTGGATCAAGAATGGTTGATTTCCCCATCCTCGCTATCTCATC